GGAGATTACCATGCTAAATTAGCATCTGAATACCTGACAATCATGTCCTTGATACTCATACAATAACCCTTTACTTAGTGAATCTTATATACTGAAAGATACATGCTATTGCATCCCAATGAGCTTCACATGGAGAGTCTAGAAACTGAGTGACAAAACTCATTGAAAAGGTGAAATCAGGTTAGCTACAGTGAGATAATATAGCTTGCCTACTAATCTCCTGTATCTCCCAGGGTCACTGAGCAGCTCCTTTGAATCAGGTAGAAGTTTGAGACTTGTTTTTATAGGGGTAGCAATGGATCTACAATTTGTCATCATCATGTCAAGTATTTTGCATGCCTTGAACTACTTTAATACCTTGGAAATATAGTGATTTGCCTTGAATCCTTAGTATGAAATGCTGAAAGAGATCATTTCAAGCTATCAATGCCCTCTTGGTTAGTGCCGACAATAACTAAAATCAATGTATACTACCAACTAAATACAAAGATATAAAGCTGAGTATTGATGTGCAGAGGGATCAGCTTCGCTAATGAATGATCCCCGTTTATTCTATTTCTGCACTTTTTCTAAACCATACTCAAGGAGAATGTTTTAAATCATTTAGAGCTGTGCAACTGTAATAAAGTTTACGAGATTCCCCGAGCAACAAAACCCGACAATTTCTCTAACTCTTCCTCAAGATCAACATGAAGAAAAACATTCTTGGGAAATTCTCATGTCCATTTCTTGATGGGTGTAGATATTATCTATTAGATTAAATTCTCCGGCTTATACCCTACGGACAGGAGAAGCCACTAATCATGAGAATGCTTCCTAGTAGGAGAACAGTAAAGGCAGAAAGGGTGAGAGGAGCTTCTCATCTGGCAGCAGAAATATCAACATTTATGGCACTCGATCTGCTTTTTGTTTAGTGACGAAGATTATGTTGCCACCTTAAAAGAAATTGAATAATATGCGTAAATTCTCTCTTGTGTGCCTTATATTCCTTTTTGCTTTCTTCACAAGTGCATGTTCAAATTGGCTACTTCTCTTCTCTATTTTCTCCTGTTCAATATACATATAAACACATATACACATAAGTTGACACATCTTAGCATCTTGATTTATTTTTGGATAAAGTTATTCTTCCATGTCACTTAGTTTGCATTCCTTTGGCCTACCATATTAAGCACAAAGGGGCAATGTTGAAGACACAAGCGAATAAAAACTGCTTCTTGAATAACTCAAGCTCTTAGATGAGATGGTCACACAGTTAAACACCGAATATTGGTCTTGGATTTTGAAAACTATATAATCCAAGATAATCCGTCTTGACTCTTTCCTTCTTTCCATTTGATTGTTGGAGGATTGGATTCCTGGATGTTTATGAACTAGCTCTGATACAGTACTGCTGGAGCATTTCATCTACATGTTGTGCAGCTGGGCAGAACTAGAATTTTAAAGTCAACAACAGTATGAGTATTGTGCTCATCTATTAGCATGGACATTGCTTGGACAGCGCTTCTTACTGAGCATATATTTGTTTGATGCGGAAGGAATGTAGTCAATGTGTGTGACACTATCTTTTTTTTTTTTTTATGTTTAGGTTGATTTTGTGATGGAGATACTCTCCAAACTTGTGGTTAGACAGGTATTTAAGCTTAGATTTCCCCCTAATCACGGAATATCATTATTGCTCTATAAATGAATTGTCATCCTATCGCATATTGGATGCAGGTATGGAGGATGCCAAAATTGTGGGTGGGATTCCTAAAATGTGTCTCACAAACGCAACCACATTCCTTTCCTGTACTACTACAGGTATTGTTTGGTAATTTATAATTTTTACTATATATTGTGCATGGAGGCAACTTTATCTGTATTTTGTCTTAAAATGTGTTTGATCTTGTTTGCAGTTGCCACCACCGCAGCTTGAGAGTGCTCTAAACAAATATGTTAATCTCCGAAGTCCATTGGTTACCTTTGCTAATCAGCCAAATATTAAAACTTCACTCCCTAGGTATATTTTGTATCTGATCAACCGTTTAGTAATGTCCCATCTTTTTCTGCATTATGTCAACTGGATTTATCTCAAGTTCTTCATGGCACATGCTGCATCTATTTTTTGAGACATATTATTCTATGTTTTATGTTAAATATACCAAAGTAGAAAATCAGATTGTGTCTTTATGTGAACCTAAAATAAGAGCTAATTGCATAAGTTGTCACCGATCTGTCACACCCACGGTCCATTATGCTCAAAAAGTTTCTTCATGATTTACTTATCCAAAAAAAAAAAAAAGACCTTCCTCATGCTTATTACAAATTAACTAGTCTTTGTGGTCACTGGAGTTGTTTGGCATTGATGCAGATCAACCTTGGTACAACTTGGTCTTTTTAATGAACCGAGTTTGCAGCAATCACATCTCTCATCTACTGTGCATGCCTCAGAGACTGGTGCTTCTGTTCATGGAACAACTCTAACATGATAGTGCACTTTCTTAAAGGAATGAAGCAGTGTAGTAATACACAGTGTAGGCACCAGGGCTACTGCAGCTCCTTATTGCAACAACGTGCTATGATTCTCCAGAGTCTGTAAATTGTGGCTAGTATCTGCGCCCCTTAGAAGTTGGGCTCAACCTGCTGGTAACAAGATGGCTCATGGGATGGCAGTGCCCAAAAGTTTTGAGGAGAAATCTCCCTTTGGAGAATGTATCATAAGACGTCAATTTCCCTTGCGGTTGCTCACCAGCTATATGTTTGTCATTCATTATATTTGTTTAATTTGTCTGCCTACAGGCATCCGTTGAGGTGTCTAGGCAACCAATTGGTGCTGTGGGGAGTAGCATAGCTGGTAGGTCAGGTTATTTAAAACCTTTTGTATGAGAGGGAGGCGAGCTGGAAGTGTGTAATTGTACTATAGTTTTATAGCCCCACCCCACTTCCCCCTACCCCTCCCACCACTTACTTCACTTGTGGTCAGAGTAAATGGGTTCAATTAGGGATTACAGAGTAAAGGAAAAAAAAAGGAATTGCACTTTCTAGTTTCTTCCAAGAAGCTCTCAGAAGAAAACTTATTAAAAAGAAAAAGAGAGTTTATTTGTGAATGGATGGTAGATTTGGAGCCTTAATTAATGGTAAATTGGCCAATGGTCTAGTGATTTGGACTGTACACTTTATTCCATGGGTGGTTATACTAGTGTCTGAAATGTTATTGAAAAGTAGCAAGTTTTTACTCTTTAGTCGCTGAGACCTTTTTGCCCTTATTTGCATCATCTTCAATGCTTTTCTCGAGTTGGCCACTATTTTAGAGTTTTACTTGTAGGAATTGAAACTCTAGGCAAGTTCTTGGAGTTCAATTACTGCTACATGGTGTCTTGGGTAGTAGCGACTTTTAGTTGATTAAGTTTCTCAATTTGATTATCTTAGTGGATTTTCAAAGACCAATGACATGAAACATGAGACATCAATTTAAGTGCAATGGTCCAGCTCTCCATTCCCTTCTTTATTTGTTACGAAGCTCTCCCTAAATCAGTACTGCATATTTAACTAAAATGTCACATACGCTATCTCGTAAGTTTGTTAAAAGGAAACATGGTGGCTAAAGTTCACGACAATTGAGGTGTTATAGGCAAAAGAAGGGCAAATTTAAGTCAATATTTTTCTACCCTTTTTTGTAAATATACATAACAATACTAAATAGGAAAGGATAATAATATATTGTCCTAACTAGAACATAGAACATATTTTTTGTGGTTACTAAATTGCCCGTAATACTTGCAAGTATATTGTTTCTACTGTGGTGACTAGGTGGTTGCTATAACTTATTATAAATACTTTCAGTGAGCTATTGAGTTGTCATTAATAATTAACACATGCTTTAAAAAATAAAAACACACACAAAAGCTATAAGTGGCATGCGTCGTTGCTAATACAAGTTGCATAAACTTTCAATGGCAACTTAGTCATCGCTATACTTAATACAAGTACTTTAACTGGCGGCCTTTTATGGTTAACATAGTCGTCGCTAATACATGATATGTGTGTTTTCAGTTGCGATCCTTTTGTGACATCATTATCGTCGCTAATACTTAGTACAAAAGTTTCACTGGCGGCATAGTCGTGGCTAATACATGGTACGTAATTCAGTGGCAGCTTAGTCGTCACTAAAACACACATAATACTTGGTACAAATACTTTCAGTGGCGACTTTGTCCTCGCTAATAATCACATAAATACTTTCAGTGGAGACTTTGTCGTCGCTACTAATCACATAAATACTTTCAGTGGCGACTTTGTCGTCACTAATAATCGCATAAATACTTTCAGCCCTAATAATTGCATAAATGCTTTCAGTGGTGATATTGTCGTCGCTAATAATCACATAAATACTTTCAGTGGTGAGATATTGTCGTCGCTAATACTTTCAGTGGCGACTTTGTTGTCACTAATAATCGCATTAATATTTTCAGTGGTCGCTAATAATCACATAAATACTTTCAGTGGCGACTTTGTCGTCCCTATATAATCGCATAAATACTTTCAGTGGTGGTCCTTTTGTGGCAACTTAGCCGTCGCTAATACCTAACACAAACTGTGCTTTTTGTGGCTTAGTCGTCACTTATTCTTAACACAAATACTTTCTGTTTCGTCCTTTTTGTGGCATCGAAGTCATTGCTGATACTTAACCCAAATGCTTTCAATAGCAACCCTTTTGTAGAATACTGTATTGGACGAAGTGACTAATCATGATTTTTTGGGCAATATTTAATCATCATATGGTGTTAGCGATGAGACGTGATCTTTTCCGAAGATATCTTGGCAAGCGAATTCGTCAAATTTAGGATGAGCAACAGCAGATTAGGTACTACTGGAGATCTCAAACCATTAGGTATTGGCCAGGTCTCTCCTATTATAGTACTCAAAGAAATGTATATTGTAACACTCTTTAACTCCAAAGAAAAAAATGAAGTTGGTAAAACTGAATTCGACGTAGAAAGTAAAAAATCTGCACAAGAAAAATTCAAAACAGCTTAATTTAATTTGCAAAACCTCTGCGACAACCACCTTTGCACATCAAGAAGGTAAAAAAAATTGCAAATTTTGTATGATAACTATTCCATCAGTAACACTATAGTAAAAGACTACAACTTGAACTAAGCATCACTTGCTTCCTGCTTCTGAGGATGATAATTACAACCATCCCATTCTACAGCATGCACACATTCCGCCTTCTGTGATGGCAGTAGCAATCAATTTTGCAATGGAAACTGAAGAAACCACATCCCTCTCCTTGGGAAAAGCAGCAAAACTCCACAACAAAACGAGTTCTCATGCTGTCAAAGAATAATTTCGAGAAAGTCAAAAATAAAATGAACCACTCCTTTCTTTATAGCTAGCTTGTCATTGAAGGCATGCTTGCTGCTTCAACTTTGGCAATCTAGTAATTCCCTGATCAGCTTGAAAATGATAGCTTCCTACTGGGATTAGCAGTGGCCTGTCAAAAAGAATTGCAGCTGAGTGCTTTCCTTTTTCTTTGCTCAGTCAAACTAAATATGAACACGGTCGCAGAAACAACAATAATGCCAAACAGGTCTTTGGATATTAGCAACAAAAGGGAGAGCGGGGGGAGAATGAATCTCTATCCTGGGAATAAAATTTGATGATGTTAATTAAGAGAAGCTATTCCTCATCCCACCAACCCCTAGTTCACTTATTTCACGTTTGACCTTTCCCTTTTCAAGACAAGGGAAGTTGTGGGTTTAGTGATGATAAGGAGCACTGACCTCCTTCATGGACACCATTTAGAGTTCCTGCACATTGCTTGTGTTTCTCATGTGGTAGAGATAACGGCATCAAGGTTCTTTTGAAGCAGCCAGCCTCCTGGATAGACAACTCCACGAGCCTCCAGATGAAGGTGCCAATTCAATACCCTTGAGCAACCAGGAGGGACAGCCTCCATTTGGCTTTCGTCTTCAACAATTTGTTCTATGAAAGTGGTCTCCTGCAAGTAATCATTGTGAGCAAATTTCCAACTTCAACCTGTTCACGCAGGCTTCTATCCCCAAAGTAAAGAAATCAAGTACTTAAAAGGAGGAGGAATATGAAGCATACTTGGAAACCCTCCTTCACATTGTCCAACTGTCGTATGGGATCTGAAGTTGGTCGATGCCATTTCTTTGGATCCCATAATATAGTGCTATTGAAGGCAAAGCCAGACATATCGACATGAAATCTTCTAAGTTGCTTACTCTTCTCGTTGGTGTGCCACCCAATAACTTGACTTCCATTGCACACAGGGCCCTCTAGTATTGCTTTGCTTTTGCTTTGTGCTAGCATAGCAACAGGCCAAGTGCCAAAACGACTATAAAGTGGAGACCACAAGAAAATATAAGCAGATGAGAAAAATAAAGACGAAAGGAGAATATTCCAACAATGACGTCAAATCTGCAAAAACAATGTGCTCTCCTTCAACTTATAGAATCTAAAAACAGTCATATTCACAAGAAACAACATACATATTACCTCTCATACCAACAATAATATAAATAGTTACTTATGTCCTAGCTCAACCATTTTACTTTACCATACTTCCTAGATAGGAGCGAATTTCACCAGAAGTGTGTCCCAGAAGTGGATATAAATTTGTTTTATTGGATAGTTGTGCTTACTTTAGTATTAAAAAGAAGAAGAAGAAGAAGAGCTGTGACATCTTTCCACAACAAATTTCAATAGCATGGAAGAGCCTACTTTCTTTAAGGGAAGTAGCTGGGATCTGGGAACAAACAAATAGATCAGTTACTTCAACACTCAGGCAGAATCTCAAGTCAGGTAACATATTACTGAATTCATGCAGAACTCTAAGCATGGTAATCTGTCATTGCGAAAGCTCAAACGTTGCAGCAAGCCTGTTAGATGATTCTATTCAAGTAAATGCTAAAACTAAAGTTAGCAAGTTCAAGAAAAAAAATGTTAAAACTGTAGAGCAAAATACAACAAAGATATCTTACATGCATTGGCTCTTATTATACCTTGTGAGCAGCACTCGCTGGTCCTCACAAAGAAGGAATCAAATGAATATGACTAAAGCATGGACAAGAATGTCCATTGCTGAGGAAATTCCCCAAGGTCTTTTTTTTTTTTTTTGAAATTGGTAACATGTATTCTTCAGCATTAAGGGTATGCTGGCCACCTCCAAAAGTGTGCTTACATAGATAGCTAATTACAATAAGCCTAGGAATTTCACTATCTGTATTTCGTTTACTCTACATTGCTCTTTACACCAAAAACATAAAGTAGAAATGCATTTCCCTTTGATCTTCCTTGGAAAATTCTCTCATTCCTTTCCTTCCATATGGTCCACCATATGCAAAAATTCCCCAAGGTTTATCGAACAGCAAAAGTAATGAAAGAACAGGGGCAAAAGTATTACTGTTCAATCTCTCACTGCTCATAATACAGTATATCAATTTTTTTTAATTATTTCCTTTAATTTATAAGCTGTTATGAACTCCTATCATAAGCAAAGATCATGGATTGCAGCCAGAGCAAGCAGAAAGCTTAATTTTTCTTCGGACAAAATGCTCAAGTTAGAAGAAGCCAAGGATTAGAGGAGGAATTTCTGGGGGAAACACAGTAATGATCATTAACTTCGCATCCTATGGAAGAGGAATCCACAATTTTTTTTTGAAACTGGTAAGATTGAATCCACAAATATTCAAACGCCTAAGAAGATTAATTGAATTGTCTTCAAACAAGGATTTGAGGAAGCAATAAAAATTGGAAACCACAATTTGCTACCCGTTACACTTGTCAATTGTGGCAAAAAAACCAACCCTTGTATCCTCTGAAAATTATGTCGTTGGGAGAATTTCATGAGCATTTCGGCATGAATTACAGCCATCTGTGAGATTCTTTTTGAACACCTGTGAGATATATTCAATATGGTATATGTTACCATTTAAGAGTCATATTATGACCTTAGTCTCGACCATTTAAGAGTCATTGCCTCATTGGATTACTTTGTGGGAAAAGTTGGGAATTAAACTGATCTATTTCTAACACAGTTCCTATAGCCAAAAGGGAGGTGTTGCTTGAAAGTATTTGTAACCTATTTTATTACATGGTAGGTGATCACACAAAGAATGTAGTTCAATTTTTTCTCAAGGCTGAAATTGCGTAAATTAATAAGTACGGCAAATGTCAAGCTAAGACCGGAATGAAGTTCACTTCAAAAATCCAAAATGAAGTATGTGTAGCAAAATAGGCAAGCAATAAGAAAACGAGGATGCAGCAGAGTGATAATGTTGCTCAAAGTAAATTGCTGTTGCAAACCAAGTTTTCAACTAATAGAAGGTAAGATTTCCTAAGGGATCTTATCATAACTTTTAGGTGGAAGAAAATTGGTCCATGTTAAAGAATTAAAGAAGATCATATCAAATGCTAATGCCCTGGAATTTGCCTAAAGGTCTGCGAAATAGTCTAATCTTTAAATTACCAATTGAATGAATTTAATCCAATGATATCTGAGAACAGCTGCAAGATCAGCATGGGATGAGCAGTAACCTAGACCCTTAGAAATAAGGCTCGAGAGTACCAGATTTGAAAGAATTTCATTCTTGAGGCAGCAATTTATATCATCTTTTCCTCATTATGCAAAGCAATTGATCTCAGAGGTAGAACTCTAGAAATTGGATCCGAACATGTATGAAGAGTTCAAATAATTACTATCATGAGATCCAAGAATTTCCATGGAGGAGCTGATGCAGGAAGAACAGAAAAGAAGAATCGGAATACTGCAACACTAAATAGATTCTATATTGAATAGATAGTGGACAAAGATATGCAGCTTCTATTTTTCGGGTCACAAGGTCACCTACTGAGCTTTTCTTCACAAATCAAGTAACATTCCAAGAAAATGCATTGCCTCTTTCAGTGAAGAAGACAACAGTCTAGCATAGACATTTCTGACCCATGTTCGACATGAATATACTATTTCCCAGGAGCATTGTAAAGTGACCTCACAAATTTGAGTCCTATTCCTTAGTCTCTCCCAAAGCAAGTGGATAATGCTGGAGCACACAACAGATCTTCTCAGTTGCTGGATCAGGAGAGGAGGCAGAAAGAGTCACAAGAAATGGTTGAGAATCATCCCATCTTGTATATGGTGGACAACATGGAAAGAAAGAAACAATAGATGTTCTGAAGGTAGTCTTAGTCCCCCTCATAAGATCAAATGGAATTGTATTATAACCTTTTATGTTTGGGGTAAAGAAGAAAGAGTAGAGGAAACTGAACAATTAATAGATCTGTTAGGACTTAGGATCATTGTAATTGATTAGTCTTTGTTGACTAATCCACAACTTTTTGGAGGTCTCCAGCATATCATTGATTCTGAGGAATACATTACCATTATCAAGAAAAGAACAAAATATTTCTCAGGAGCATCACAAGTAGTTACTGACTTGTCTAGTGTGTTTTTTAATCAATACTAACTTGTTGAGTCTATGTTGTTATTTGAGCTCAAATTGTATTCTGGATTTAATTCCCATGGTTGGTTCAGGAGTCATTTCTTTTGCATTAACTACTTGGAATATTACTAGTTTTCTAGGATATGGGTCGGGTTTCGAGTAACTATGTATAGATAGTCTTACATTGTAGAAACCATATCTTTTGAATACTATTCATTCAGTTGCAGCAGGGAAGCTCTTCTGTCTGACATATTATTTGCACCTCTATTGGTTGAGATTTAGCTTCCAGTAAAAGCAGTCCATTGAGGCTTGTTTTGTTGCATAAAAAAGTCGCAACACTTCTCTCTGCAGGCAAATTCGGAGCTCACTGCTTCTAATCCTCAGTGAGACTTATTTTCCACATATTAAACAATAAGAAACTTACGAAGGAATATTATAGACTAAATTCCTTGGTGACTAGTGTCAAGACATCTTGACCAAGTTAAAAGTTTTGTAGTGGCAGTTTTTTTAAGCTTACTTGTCTGAGGTAGACATCAAGGAAGATGAGTAGCTGCTACTCTTCACGGAGCAACCCATAGGACACTCAAATTCACTATTGCAAGGGTCACTCTACCAATTTATGGAGATGCAAAACGATACCAGTAAAGTCATTTTTATGTAAAAGTTTCCTACATCAGACAGCTTTGACTAAGCAGAGACATGAATAAGTTCTATTTGTTAGAAGTCGAAGAGACAAATAAGTTAATTTCACCTATGGCTACAAAAGAGGACTCTAATTGTTATAAATACAGTACAATTTAATAAGGGTTCTAATTGTTGACTATGATAGAAAGCATGCCATAATAATTATGGTAATAAAACGTAGTTTAATATTTACATTTCCAAATAACAAGAAAAAAGTGGAAAATTATTAGTAATGAATGTAGTCCTGACTCTCATAATAAAGATGGGAAGACTAGATGTTTCTTTAAGACCCCTTGAAAAGAAGATAAAGTGGATGAAGGCATCATAAGGATTTTCTATGAAGAAGGTGAATAACAAAAAGAAGTGATAGAGGCATCATAAAGAATTCTACGAAGAAAGAAGATGACAAGTGAAATCAATGTATCAATGTTAGGGATCGAGCAAGCAATCGTAAGTGTTAGAAGGGTTTTCTCTCAAAGGTAAATCAGTGCTCTTAGCATCTACGAAAGAACAGGTGTAACAAGTCTATGGCTAGTTCTTACTAATACTTCTATATCTAACTTCCATGTTGAGTGGTTTCTCTGTTCTCTTATTTGGATTGAAAGAAGTCAAGAACTCTACTGAAAAGATTGAAGCACATCTGTCCAACCAAGTGGTTGAAGTACATCTCTGTCAAGCCAAGCTTTTTCTTTGACATCAATTAAGAATGAAGAAACACATGATCGCACTAATGATGAAGATGCTACATCTGGTGGGCATGTCAAAGTTATAGCCCTTTCAATAAAAGTCGATCATCCAAAGCACGTAACTCTTTTTGTCCACTAATCAAATTCACACAATTTATATTTTACCAGAAGAAGGAAATTCCATTATACACTAACAAGGTGGTCATTCCTCAGCTTCTAATCTAAGGACTGCTATTTTGAGGAAGAATTGAGATAATAATTAAGTCCAAAATCACACAACCAGTGGTCGAATCTACAACTGTTATTCTTATAACTATGAAGAGTGATGAACCGAGGACACCAGGAAAAGAATTTGTTAGTGAAGTTGTAATGTATCGGAAATAGCTCTAGACTATTCACCCATTATCAACTTGAACATCTACATAAAGCACATAACATCATCCTGAACATGCTCACAGCAGGACAAAACAAAGACAAGTCATGTAAACAAGACTGATGAATCTCAACTTACTTGATCGATCTAATGCTCTCAAACAACTCAAGTGAGTAGATATTATCATCATCTGCAAAGTAAACAATTCCATTGAGCCTATGATGTTCAATATGCTCCAATGCAACATTTCTCTGGTGCACCCCGCGGTCTTTTATATCTGTCATGTTCTTGGAGCACACCAGATGCCGATACATAACTCCTGTCTTCCTCAAAATGTCTGCAGTTTCTGCAGACGCCGCATTCATCTCAACCACAACCCACAACAGAGGTGATTTCACAAGCTTCAACACCTCGCTTAATCTATGAAGATAGTAAGCTTGAAGTGCCCTATTATAAGTCGGAGTTACCACAATCAACAGTTTCCTGGATGCATAATCAAACTTCCCCTGCACTTCCTCCCCCGAACCTGGTAATTTGACTGAGTTTACCACAACATTGTCAGGTCTGGGAATTACCACATCTTTCATCTCCTCCTTAACATTCACCACCGGTGGTTTGATCTCAAACGAAAAATCACTGCTCCTCGCATCATCAAAACCACCAAATGGTGCCATACCTAATACAAACCCTAGCACGAAAAATACCAAACACCTATAGAACAACTTCTTCCTGGATATGTAATTTTTTCGAGAATACAGTAGCGAGGAGCTTTTGCCATTGAGAACGAGCTTATGAGATGGCGATTGAACTGAATATTGGTTTCCATTCTGATAATGCCGTTCGTTACTCGGTGATAAAGTTCTCCGGATCGACGCCATCGATTAAGCAAACTGCCCAATTACATCAACTGATACGCAATTTCCACGCTTTACACACAATGAATCAACAAACGGCGCGAAATGCACGGCAAATCAACTAGAGTCTATAGTAGAGCAAACAGTGCAGAAGATCATACCAGCTCAAACGATTCAGTTTAAAGCGAAACTTCGCCGAATCACAACTGATTACACTGAAACCCTAGATATACAAACAGAACCTAATTCTCCGAATCAAATCTGCCTGATTTGGTATTAAAATAGAATGAAATCTCTTCTGAAACACTGCACAATTTCAGCAAAAACTTCAGCAGCTCCACATATCAGAATTCAAGAAAATTCAATGAAACTATTCAGAATTCCGGTGATGTGGAGGCTAAATTTTCCGGTAGAATTTGAGATTTTAGAGTGTCGGCTGTAAATGGAAGTCTAAAATGAGTCGTCAGTGGCGGCCGTAGAGGCGCAAAGGGGGCGTTGTGCGCATCAAGTGGGATGCGCGCCAGATAATCAGAGCTGGGCGTTGGTTACGACTAACGCGCGCCAGGTTGGTGGGCCCGTATAGGAAACTGACGCGTGGCTTGTTGTTTCGTGGGGAGGCAGCTTGGTTATTATGTCGGAGAGAAATTTAATTCATTAGGACTTTTAACACATTGTTTTGGACCGTTTGGTAAAGCTAATCATAGTTTAAATATTTATAATGTGATACATAGGTACGTGAAACTGGGAAGATTTTAGAGAATTCTTATATTACGTGATACATATGTACATGAATGGTCAGTTGTTGCTATTAGAAACTAGTAAGAAATTTGAATTCACAAGCACAAAAATCAGAACATAAGAAACTACATTGACCTCTTTCTCACTGTGAAAATCACAAAGGGCAAATTATATAATTTGCTCGATAAGTAAAAAAATAATAATATATATTCGCTAGCTAAATATATACACTATTTTATATCAAATATATAAGTATATTTTACATTAATAAACATTATATATATTTTTAGAATTATTATTTTGATGAACCATTATTTATGTCAATTTTTCATCAGTGAATCAATTAAAATATCTTTAATAGAATGTGACGTTTGCTTGGGACAAAGAATAGTCGCAATAATATAAACAATCCTAACATCATTAAATACGTATTAATTGAATTGGATAGAATGACATAATAATCTTATAAAATCTTTGACCTATAAAATCACGACTGTTTTAGGCATATTGTGTAGCATTATTGGTTTATGATTGATCAATTTGATTTTCCTCCTAAAATTATTTTTTAAAAGTTTTGTGTACTATAGTCTTTATGATTATTTCATTATACAATATAAGTGCAAGTCTTACATTAAATTAATTATAAAAAGTATTACTCCCTAGTTCCTCAATCTAAAAATGCTAGTTATGTTTTTCAATTTACATACCCCTTAACACATATTGCTATTGATTAGATTTCATTATTTTACTTTTATTTGTGTCTTAATTTATCTACTTCATAATTAATAGAGTTAAAATGACAAATTTACTATGTCAATCATTATTTTCTTAATATAGGTGTGTTAATTCAAAAATGAACAAGAAATTTTTAGGGACATGGGGAGTATTTTACCGGGGAATTGAGAACTTATACAAGCATTGAAATACTATAAAATATCCTTTATTTTATTAAGTTCTTGAGAAATTTTATTAAATGTTATTGCACGTATATCTATATTAATAATATGACATTATAAAATTACTCATGAATAGCCAAGTGAAACGTTGATATATACTACCTTTATTTTCCTTAAACATATAAATTCGTTATTTGGTGACATTATTGACTTATTGTACAAAACTGAAAACTCAAAGTTTTTGATGGAATATTAACGGTCGCCTTGGAAATAATTAAATATTTATTGTGGTGTATATATCAAGTTAATTTTATATTTTCAAGAGTTAACTTCTTCAGATTCTCATACGTGTATTACACGTTTCCAAACTAATTTTCAAGTTTCTATGTTTCGTCTTCTCGTTTTTGTTATTTATGCAACTTTAACTTTACAAATTCCTAATTAATGAATTCTAATACACTTTTTTATCTTGCAACTACAAAATTATTCTAAAGGAAAAATCCTTTTGACCAGAATACTCGTATTCGTATATCATAGTTATGAGTTATGACATTAACGCTGCTATTTCACACAATTTTTTCATGCTTCAAGCAGTAGACACTCTAGAGATCACAATTTATGGGAACTAAAGAAGTTTTGCTCTCGTCTTATATAAGTATTAAGAAATTCATTAAACATTTATAAATATTTAATTATGAATTCAATTATGATTACATTAAGAACACATTAACTATAAATTAAAATCTGTCTCATGCTTCAAGTACACAAACAAATCATGACATTGTGAGCATAATAAAATGGGGAATTTTCACATAATATAACCACTAAAAATAGCTTAATTATGCTCCATAGCTATACGTTGTTAATTATAATTTGTAGCTACATGTTATAGGGAGGAGAGTGGCAAGCAAGACTGGGAGAGGGAGGAGAGATGTGAGCAAGAGAGGGCAGAGAGCGGAGAGAGGCGAATTATATATGTATATCTGTCAAAATAATTGTATAAATGCAACTGGTATACATATGTATTTGTATATCTGGCAAGCGAGATTGGGAGAGGGAGGAGAGAGGCGAGTGAGATTGGGAGAGAGAGGAGAGAGGCGAGTGAGAGAGGGCAGAGAGGCGAGGCGAACTGTATATGTATATATCGGTTAGATAATTGTATATATGTAACTACTATGTATATGTATCAATTATTGTATTTGTATATGTGCATACAATTTGAATTCGTATACAATTCAATCGAGTTAAAATATTTGTATTTATATATTCAATCTCTCTCTCGTTTTATACAAACACAAATTATACAAATACTTTGTATAATTTAGCAGTCGTTTCCAGCTGTTGTGACCAGACCAGGCCATGAGAATAAGAGGGTCCTTTCGAACAAAATCAAGACAAAGAAAAGAGGTCTTCTTTATTTTTCTTGAGATTCTTGGCTCTTCTGAGCCCTTCCTTTACTTTAGATAAAGAGATAAAAGATAAAGAGATAAAGGAAATTGATGATAAAAGTTGTACATATCTATATAATATAGAAAGAAGAAAAGAGAGAAAGAAAGATTCTTTCCTTTATCTTAATGTGCTATCTCATGTGTTAATTATCTTTTTCAATTGGGAGAGATGGCTGAGTGGACTAAAGCGGCGGATTGCTAATCCGTTGTACGATTTAATCGTATCGAGGGTTCGAATCCCTCTCTTCATTATTTAATTTGGAAAAATCTTTTTAGCCAAAAAATTTGAATTCGTATACAATTCAATCGAGTTAAAATATTTGTATTTATATATTCAATCTCTCTCTCGTTTTATACAAACACAAATTATACAAATACTTTGTATAATTTGTGTTTGTATAAAGCGAGAGAGAGAGAGAAAGGCAAACGATAACTGGGTAGAAAAAAAATTGTATTTGTATAATTATAAGTGTATAGGGTGGAGAGATATGTATTTGTATTTGTGTTTGTATAAAGTAAGAGATAAATTGGCAGAAGAGAAGTGAGAGAGAGATTTGGTAGGGAGATGAGAGAGGCGAGGGAGAAAAAATGGAGAGTGACGAGCAAGATTCCAGAGAGAGGCGAGAGAGAGGAAGAGAGAAGAGAATGTAATTATAGCTAGATGTAAGTTCCAAATTGTAATTAATGCAAACTATAGTTATCTTAGTTAATTAACTAGTACATGTTTGCATAATCACATAATTTTTCCTAATAAAAATAGTACAAGTTGCAGTAGTTTGATAGATAATTGGCATTGCTCCGTCAGGCTTTCGCCCATTGTGGAAAATTCCCCACTGCTGCCTCCCGTAGGAGTCTGGGCCGTGTCTCAGTCCCAATGTGGCTGATCATCCTCTCGGACCAGCTACTGATCATCGCCTTGGTAAGCTATTGCCTCACCAACTAGCTAATCAGACGCGAGCCCCTCCTCGGGCAGATTCCTCCTTTTGCTCCTCAGCCTACGGGGTATTAGCAGTCGTTTCCAGCTGTTGTGACCAGACCAGGCCATGAGAATAAGAGGGTCCTTTCGAACAAAATCAAGACAAAGAAAAAAGGTCTTCTTTATTTTTCTTGAGATTCTTGGCTCTTCTGAGCCCTTCCTTTACTTTAGATAAAGAGATAAAAGATAAAGAGATAAAGGAAATTGATGATAAAAGTTGTACATATCTATATAATATAGAAAGAAGAAAAGAGAGAAAGAAAGATTCTTTCCTTTATCTTAATGTGCTATCTCATGTATTAATTATCTTTTTCAATTGGGAGAGATGGCTGAGGGGACTAAAGCGGCGGATTGCTAATCCGTTGTACGAGTTAATCGTATCGAGGGTTCGAATCCCTCTCTTCATTATTTAATTTGGAAAAATCTTTTTAGCCAAAAAATTTGGCCAGAATGATATTTTTTCTATGTTATTTTATATTTTAAAACATTTTCACCCTTTTAAGTTTAATACATTTTAACTAAAAAATGGAAAAAAGATCAATTTGTTTTAATATAAAAAAATATTATAGTTTTTTTAATTTTCTGGACATTTAGCACTGTCCATTTAATTTTACTTTTTATATGCATGGGATAATAGTCAAAGGATAAAATATTAATATTACTCCTATTATTTATTGTTTCTTAAAGAACGTGTCAAGTCAATATAGTATTGGACATAAATCATATATGAATTCAATAAATATGATAAATAAATTAGTACGTAATACAATAATTTTAATGTACCTTAATTGAAGGTACATTAAAGGTCATGCATTTTAAACGTCCAAAAAAACAACAGTAAATAAAAGCAGAGAATCCAAATTCCAAAGCGTACTGATCATACATACGTACTCCCTATAAATTCCAACAACTCTCACGAGAGAAATTCATATCTTTACCTTAGAAAACAAAAAAGAAGAAGAAAAAAAAAAGATGTATTCCTTCAATAATCCTAATGGTATAACTTACAACCCAAATACCTCCAAATACTCAGTCACCTTCGCCGGAAAAACAATTGAAACTACCGTCACCGACAAAGGCGCCGTCGCAGATGAATGGGTACGTAACATTCTTTCCATACATGGAAACACTCCCATGGTTGTTGTTGGCCTAGACATTGAATGGAGACCCCATGAAATAAGTTGGATGAGCAACAAATCCGCAACGTTACAATTATGCATCGATGAAAAATGTCTTATTCTTCAACTTTTCTACGTTGATGAAATTCCTGAATCTCTCAAGGATTTTCTCAATGGTACAAATTTTACATTTGTGGGAATTGAAGTTGGTGATGATGTAAAAAAGCTGAAGAATGAGTATGGATTGAATTGTTGTAAGATCGCTGATATTTGCGCGATAGCGAAGCAGCGTTGGCCTGGGAGGTTTCGTCGACCAGGGCTGAAAGATTTAGCTTTGGAAATTGCTGGTTTGAATATGAAGAAGCCTAAGCATGTGTGTAGGAGTAATTGGGAGGCAAGGGAGTTGAGTAGTGACCAGGTTGAGTATGCGTGCCTTGATGCTTATGCTTCTTATAAGATTGGCAACAAGCTTTTGCTTGAGTGAAGGTCTTTTTGGCAATCATGGAATTGGAATGCATAATATTATAGTATTAGCTACTACTTATTTTGGCAGTTACCATTTGGTTATTTTGCAGTAATTATTAATGTCTTTTGTTGTACCTAGTGCTGGAGATCGATAGATCTTAATTTTGTTGTGATGTTTTGAATTATCTATAATATATAAGTAGTACTCTTTTTGGATTTATAATATATTAGGGCTTGAACACACAATCCTAAGGAACTTTTGCAACAACTTAACCACGAAACTAAACATTTCACTTGTGTCAAGATGTATCAATACTTATATATATAGTTTTTAAACAAAAAATTGACCTGTAATTTTCCGGCGAAGGAGTGTCGCTTTACACGCCTCGGCAAGGGTGGGTCTGCCTCTGTCATGAACCTAAATGTTTCCAGTATTAATTGTAAGAACTAATTTGATTTAGGTTACATGTAGTGATTGAATGTTGTGCATCATTAATTTTCGAGAATCTCATTGGATTTAAAGTCATTGGTGATTGTGTGTGTTTCCTGTGGAGCTCAGATAATGAAGCAACAAAATGTCACTAAACTGAACAAGAAGTCTGCAATTGTAGATCACTACATTTCTACAAACACTTTACTTGTAGTCATTTGAATTTTGATCTCCATAGCGGTTGCCCGTGATGCGTGCACGAGCCCAAATATATTATTTATCCAAACGCTATGTTTATCAAATCAATATAGTGCGATGTAAAATATCATGAAATGATACATGTGACAACCATTTAACATTTAGTTCATCTTTAAAGAGTTATTATGTTATTATTTTCGAAAAGAGATCGTCTCAAATGACTAATTTGTTCAATATAAGAAAGTTTGGATCCTATATATGCTACTTTTGCAAGTTGTCCAAAAAGTTTGGATCCTAAGTTATTCGATATTTTGGTATATTTTATTTTTTATAGTTCAAAAATCTTTTGTGCCAAGTTGAAATAAGACTTAACATATTGAAATGATGAAATAGGATGAAAAATCTTATTAATGTAGTTTAGTTGGTTCTTGTCCTTTTTTTCATTTTTGTCTTTTTGTTTTAAAAGGATGGAGTAATTATTTAGAGGTTACTTTTATTTAAATTTATAAATCTTAGTAAAATTAATAATACTCTATTTTTTGTTAATTATATTTTTGATAAACTAAGGCCCCGTTTGGCCATGCAATATGGTATCATGATATGGAATCATGAGATGAAATTGAAGGTTTGTTTGGACATGCGATATGTAATTTTTGTGTTGTATATTTTCTCATAAACATAAAAATCTCATAAGTTGTAAAACTATTAAAATAGCCCCAATTGTTTATTCAATCTTATCAAATAAACAAAAAATTATAAAATCGCATAATAAATTATTACAAAGTTATTTGTTCTCCACTTAAGTAATTGTTTCATCTAACTTTAATTTAATAAAAAAAATTGAACATTAATTGTAGTGTACTAGTCTTTAATATAATCCTCCCACATAGTACGGACAATTTCCTCACGTTGAACTTGCATTTCTCGATCATGTGACCGAGAAGATGAACCAACATTGTTACTTTGAGCCATTTGTTGGTCAATATCCTCCGCAACTATATCTTCATGTTCATAGACCATAAATATTTCATTACTACTTTGGTATTCTCGCAAATAATTATGTAACACTGCACAAGCTATGTCAATTTTCACTTGTGTATCAATATCATAATGGTTCATGCCTTGTTTCAGTATTCTAAATCTATTTTTCCAAGCTCCAAAAGTCTGTTCAATCACATTGCGCAGAGATGAATGCCTATAATTAAATAGTTCTTTGGCATTTTGAGGCTCTCTTTCACTTCCTCGTTAATCTTGAAAATGATAGCATAGTCCTTTGTATGGAGCTAAAAATTCTTTTGTGTTTCAGAAATCAGCATCAACAACATAATATTTATCTACCAAAAACATTTTATAAAGAATTACTAAAAACATATGTGACGTAAATGAAACAACTTTGTGTAAATAAATAATATTTATTCTAAGGATGTAATTTAAAGTTACCATGTGGCGGGAATGGAAATTGTGACGTTGGTTCAACAAGTGCATTCTCAAGTACTTTACTATCATGTGCAGTACCTTCCCAAACAACAACAACAAAGGTAAATCGCATATCAAAATCACAAGAACATAAGACATTTTATGATGTTCTTCCTTTGCGATTACGATAAGCTTGTTGCACCGCTTTAGGAACCTCCCCTTCTATATATGTTCCATCAATCGCACCAACATAATCCTACCAAATAAAAAATACATCAATATTAGTTTAGTGAACATAAAATAAATTGGAAGCATTATAGAATGCACTTCATAAAAATAATGTTTGTAAGAGTAATAAAAATAGTGCTTCCAAGACAATGCAAAGTCATAAAATAAATATTATCTCTTTAAACAAAGTTGATAGGAAATATGTAACTAAATACTAATAACTTACACATAAAATATAAATGTTCACTTATTAAGGCCATAAAATAAATTTATTAATGTGATTGAAATTTTACCTTAAACCAAGGCCAAAATCGAGTATTATGTCAAATTTTGGAATGTACACCAGTCATAATTTTTGGTTGTATAAATGTTGGTGCCATCTTGCTAATTGCCTCGACAACTATTTTAACATGCTGGTTAATTGTTTCAAGTGAATGTTGAAAAGTTTCACAATCGTGAGGTGTGAGTTAAAGTGACTATATGTTGGTGAGAATAATCAATTTTATGTCGGTGAGAATAATAAATTTTAAAAAGTAATGATGTGATTATAAATTTTATTTACATATGAAACAAATGGTTAGTAGATATAAATGTGGGGTTGTTTTAACAAAATATAAACTCATAAATTAATTATTGTATTAAAATATCTCAAATCATGATATGGAATCACCATATAATTCCATATAATGGTTTTTGGAGAATATGGTATCACCTCTCATGATATGGAATCATGAGATGGAATCAGCGTAAAATTACATGTCCAAACATTGATTCTATCTCACGATACCATATCGTGATATGGTATCGCATGGCCAAACGCCTACTAAATATCCTATTCCCACATGAATGATGTGATAAATCTCAGGTCTAGACGTGCCCGCCGTCTGCTGCCGGGCCACTCGTCGACGACTCCATGCCGTCGCGCACCGCAAAATATCCTGCTCGGTGACAAAGCGAAACTACTAGCAGAAGTGAGAATTCGACTAGCGCCGTCGTAAAGAGCAATTTTTCTCTCATCACAATTCTCTCTGTGCAATTCATCTGAATTTATATGTAAATTTATTGTTTTTCCATAATGGCCTTTACTTTTTCTTTTCTCTAGTATGGAGGATTCGACTGCGTCTTACAATTTTCCATTTGATTCTCCCTAATTGATATTTCTCAATGAGTTTACTTGGAAATTTGTGATTTGTATCATTTTGATCATATATACTGCTCAGTTATAATCATACTCAATTATTAATTTGGCTTTGAAGGTTTAGCAATTATAATCTTTTTAGTATTCCTGGTACCATCAGTAAGACTGCCTACAATACTGGGAGTTTAGTGCACTGCACTATGCTTTGGTCTTATCAGTAACTACAATTATGCATATAATCATCTTATTCTCTGTTGGATTGATATCAGTTGAGCCGTTTTATTTGTGTAAGCAGGTTGTTATGAATGAGAATGATCTGAATAGGTTCAAATGTGTCACCTCATACGGGAGCATGAACTCTTCATGGAAGTATTACTCAGGAGAAGAAGTTGCAGCTGCCAGCCTTTCCAACTTTATTCATTGGAGGAAACCATGATGCATCCAATTACATTGGGGAGCTGTGAGTGGATTTTTATATATTATATATGTTCTCAATGTTGCATAGATATCTAACTTTGATTGATTTTACATTCTATTTCTCTATCACTATCAGTATGTTGATCTAGATGTTACTAAATGTTTGTTGTTGGTGGACCTCAACTTCTAATTTTCTTTGGCTGGTCAGTTTTGACTTGTTAAAAAAATCTGCCGCACTTGAACTTGTTTAAGTTATCAATTAGTCCGATCTCTATATTTAGCAGTTAACTAATTCCAGAGTTGTTTTGTTTGATATTTTTTTGACTGTTTGTTGAGTGATGAGTGTTGCAACGGTATCAAAGATGAAGATGTGGAAAAAACACGTTGCAATGATCATGGATGAGTTGATTGGTCCTTTTGTAGAGGTGCTGGTGTATTTGTTGTGCATTATTGTTTGCGAATGAATTCATGTAGCTTTTTTTTCTTTACTCTCTGAATTGCTTCAAATGTTAACATATGGCAATATAAAGGACTATTTTTTTTACTAATCTATGATGGAATGCTATCTTTTTAAAAAATAAGTCATTTTTGAATTAGGACATTTTGTCAATCACTTGGTCAACTATTCCTCACTCCTAAATTGTTGAGTTCAGTATTTAAATTTCTTGTTTTCATGATCCATTCATGTCCATTTTATTGTTACACGTAATATTTTGTCTTTAAGAAAGATGATGGTTTCTCTACAATTGGATGTTCTCTAAATCGTACTCTTACTCCTGCACGTAGACTACATCACTACAAGCCTTTAACTAGAATAAAATAGTATGAAATATTGGATTTATTGTAAATGTGAAAAGCAACAACTAAGCCTTAATTCAACTAGTCGGTGTAGCATATATGCGTAGCATATATGTGTACTTTGCTTCTATTATGCTCTTTCTTAGTTAAGTAGGTATTGATTTTGAAAGATATAGGTCCTTTTGAGGTAACTTCTTTTATATGATTTTGGGTCTAACTTTTCCATTTTTATCACCTTCAATCATATAAAATGACTATATCATCTCATATGAGCATATTAAAATTCTGCGTGGACATGACCATACCATCTCATATGTAAACTCTGCATACTGTCGCACCTTTATGGGATGTGATAATTTACAATCTTGGGATATGAATTGATAAAGATTAATGT